GTGAATACTTGACTCGTTTGGGTGAGCTTCCGCATCTCAATGATAAGTTACTTTTTGAGACGTATTTACCCAATTTCGCCTAAGGTGATGAAGGACTGGTAGTAGAATTGTCCCACAATGATATGAGAAGAGCTGACGTTTCCTTTGAATTTTAACATAGCCTTGCTTTTCGAAAAGTTGTTCTCATCCAGGGTGGACTTCAGTTTCGACCTCGCATCTGTCTTATCGGCACCCCCAGCGGGAGTCGAACTGTGACTGTGCAGAATGAGAACTTGACACGTTAACCACTCGGCCACATTGCCACTAGTGACCTTGAGTCACAGGGCAAATGTGAATTTCAAGTAAAGCCAGCCCTTTTGCCATATCATATTCTTTGGTGGGGTTGTTATAACAATAATCACCTTAAACGAAATTGGGTGAATACATCTTATATTACTGATTTACTAGTAGTCTCTAAACAATACTTAAATGTGAAAGATAAAGTAACATAGTCGATTGCTATAGCAAATATACGCTTGCTTCATCGACAATCCCACAAAAGAATGTGATATGGCAAAAGGCCTGGCCTTCTTTTAAATTAAAATTTGCCCTGTGACCCAAGGGCACTCGTGACAATGTGGCTAAGTGGTTAACGTGTCAACTCTCAATTCTGCACTGTCACGGTTAGACTCCCGCTGGGGGGTGTTGATAAGACCTATGTTAGGTCTAAGCTGCAGTCCACCCTGGATGAGAACAATTTTTTGGAAAGCAAGGCTATGTACAATTCAATGGAAATGTCTGCTCTTCTTATATCATTGTGGGAAAATTCTACTACCAGCCCTTGACCTTAAACGAAATTGGGTTAATACACCTCATATTACTGATTTACTGGTAGTCTCGAGACTCTACTTAATGCGAAAAATAAACTACTTTTTGTTTTGTTTTGTCTACTTTCCGTTTTATTCGCTCAACCACATGCATACCTTCCAAAAATATCTTGTAAGCTTACCATTACTCAGTCGCAAACACTGTTCATTAGGCTGGACAACTATAATTTTACTAATAAGTCTTGACCACTATAATATGCCAATTGACTATTCATTATTTAGAGCTTACCTTTGCAGAAATCTCACCTCCATTTAAACTTCATCTGAACAAGTTATACTATTCCGTTAATTAAACTTAATTTTAAAAAGAAATGCGAGGTTTTGTGGCCAAAAAATTAATCAGCTACCAAAACATTTATTTCGTACTGCCTTCTCCTGGCATGATACTTAATCGATTCTGCCCAATATAAGCGATTTCGCCCGAAGGATTCTCCCTCATGTTTCAGATGAATATTTTACCATAATGTGCATAAAAATCGGACCTTACAGTATATTTCAGTCATACACTTTTTCAAGGTCACCTCTATAAGCTCAGTTAGTCAACGCTTTTAATGTATCACATTTATTCTTTCTTGTTTATCCCGCTCTCCCAGGCCGATCTGTCCACGTGATCAATATGGACCCTGCAAACGATTACCTACCTTATCCATGCAGTGTGAACATCAACGATCTTATTCGCCTAGATGAGGTAATGGCCGGCCTTAGTCTTGGGCCAAATGGTGGTTTAGTATTTTGCATGGATTACCTTAATGCCAACCGCGACTGGCTAGTACGTCGGCTGACCAGTGTGCGGAAGCGACACCCGAAGGCCTACTTCATTTTTGATTGTCCAGGCCAGGTCTGTTTGTTTCCATATCAACACGCATATATATTTACATGATTGCGCAACCATTTTTTATTTACATGTGAGGTCAGCATTATAGATGTGTGTATGAAGGCTGACGAGATCTTCTGCAGACTTGCGAGCTTCAGCTGCTTTTACCTAAGGCGTTTTAGCTCATCGCAACCCCTCTACTGGTTCCAGAGGGTCGTAGCATGTCAGGATTATAGGCTGAACCACTCTGACTCGATTCCCGTTTTAGGTGCTAATAAAATCCAGGAATGTACCTTTATGAGAAGAAAAGTTGGGTTTCGAGGAATCTCTTGGTCCAAAACTGTTGAGCTTACTTCCATTTTGAGTGATAGTGTTTGACGACGAGATTAAAAAGTTGATCCTACTAGAAGGCGATGGTGGATTCCTCTTGTCCAGCTGTAGATTGGCTTTAGTGGCACATTCTTGTTGACACTGTTTACAAGGTAATCTCCTTCGATTCTGGTGAAAACGTGATGAGCTTTCGTCCATTGTTTGACGAGCATCATCCTTATAAACATTCAAGCTAACGAGTCAAGAAAAACTGCATTTATTCATAAAACACTTTCACTAAAAATAAGAGTTAACTCAACAACTTAACTTTACCTCTTAGGACTTATCGTTTCACATTTTTACCTGCCTCGCTTTTTGCGCTCTGTAGAAGAATCACATATATTACTATGGCGAATTTCTATTGCAAAAATTCACATATATGTAGGCGTATTTACTCTATTTCGTTTAAGGTGATAAATGAAATAATAGTGGAATTTTCCCACAATGATATGAGTAGCCTTGCGTTTCCGTTAAATTTCCCATAGCCTTGCTTTCTCATAATTGAATGGAAACGTAAGGTCTACTCATATCATTTCGGGAAAATGCAACTACACCTTATATATATGATCTACTAGTAGTCTCGAAAGCCTACTTATGGACGAAAAACTTAGCATCTCAATACGTCCATTTAATCAAATATTTAGTTTCAACTGGAATATGTTGATGGACAAATACTATCGACTTTTGGACCACCTTTTTTTAAATGTAATTTTTTTATTAGAACATTAGATATCAAATTAGCTTAGTCATCTTGCCTTTTTATGATTTGATTTTTTTCAGTTCTGGTATAAACTGGCCCAGCTTTTGTCCGATATGCGGCATATATAGTTAAAGCTGGAACTCATTCTTGCACAAACTTTCAGCTAACATCCAATTAGTCATTTGCCTCTTTTCCGCTCGTATCGAGGGCGTATAAGGTCTTTTTTGCTTGACATTATTTTGCCCTCATGAACAAGTCTCGGGTAATGCGATCAGCTTTAAGCATCTGGAAATAAAGGATTAGCTTCGAATCAATCATAAAGAGAATTGAACGGATTTTATTCTGACTGAATATTAAGTTTTATCTAGTTTATCTATCGTATGCGGCCCACAAGAATGATTCCCTTCACCCCTATCCTTACCATGGAGGTTAAGAGAGGCTATATAGAATATTCTGCTATGTGAGTGAATTTTGAAAGAAATTTTACAAATGAAATGGTAATTGTTATGATAAGCATCTAAGCTAGGATTTAGTACACACGATTAATCTCCATTAAACTTCGTTTGCAACATTCGTGATAATTTGTTCGTGGGTTACATGCTCTTCCTTACTCAGGTTGAACTATACACACATCACCCCGGAATGCGTGAGCTTCTCACTTGGTTGACTTCAAGTCCTCGATCATGTCATAAATCTCCTTCGAGTTCATCATCCCGGCATTCAGGAGTCAAAGAGTTTTGTTCCCTGTCAAACAGTTCAGTCGGTTGCCTTTCTCCTAACCCGCAGGTCTCCAACTTGACTAGAAAAAATCGAGAGGACTTGGCCCACCTTTCAGACCATCAGAGCCTTCCAGAATCTCTGGTGACATCGCCCTGTACGCCTCAGGCCCAAGCGCTCCCCGAATCAAAGAAAGTTTCTTATGACAAAGAGCATCCAACTTTTCCGGACAAACCAATTACTTCCCCTCTTCCTCCTGTTGATCCCTCACTCGGCCCCAATATTGAGTCTTCAGGAGAATCCACTATCTCATCTTTACTTTTACCTCCTTCATCCTCATCCCCTTCACAATCATCTGCGGAATCAGCGTTTTCCGCTTCAGCCGTTACCAAAACTCATCTTGATTCAACTTCGGCCTCCTCTATTTACACCGCTTCTGCTGTTTCCGAAGACTTTCCTGAGTTAAGTCAGAGCCCTGGGCTCCGACTTACCTGTGTACAGCTTGTCGATTCACATTACTGCACAGATCCCGGCAAGTTCATAGCCTGTCTGCTCACTTGCCTCTGCGGGATGCTGCAGCTTGGCCTTCCACATGTAAATGTGTTGAGCAAGATCGATCTTATTGAAAGATATGGAAGTCTCGAGTTCAACCTTGACTACTTCACCGAGGTTCTTGATCTAAAGTACCTCGTGGAGAAAATACATGTATGGCTATGCAATAAATTTAGTGATCACATAGGAAAATATCTCTCTAATTTAAGGAAAAACTTAGATTGTTTTTAGCTTTACTCATGTAGGTTTTCCTATTTCTTTTTAGTTCCTTCTATTTAATGGAACCGACTTAATTCCTTTGATTTAAATTAATTTATTTTTACTCTATTATGTCTTTATTCCTTTTAATGTAAGCCTTCTAGCAAGCCCAAGAGAGAAAGCACTAAGCTGAAGTACTGTGGAATGTTTATTAATTCTAGGAATATTCCTGATAATTAACATAAATATCTTCGGGCAAGCCAAGTTAGTATAGCCTTATTGATGTGCTATCCGAAGTATAATTCCAGGTACGCAAGAGAAGTACCTTCCATTTTAGTTTACTTTGCAACCAGGACATGTAAAATAACTTGCGCGAAGAACTACCAACATCCCATCATCATAGTGGGATTGTTTGCACTTTGGGGGAACTTGAACCGAAGTGGCAGGTTTGGGTTTTTTCCAGGTAATCTCATTTGGCGGCTACTATACACCTGCTTAAATTGTATTTATTTTTATTAGTAAATGCGATAAAAAGTTGATGGTTCTATTATTACGAAACCATCTGCTTAAGAGAAGGTATGAAGACCAAGATGGTGTGGCCTTTTGTATGGTCGCAGTCTCCTTTCGTTGTATATAAGTTGTTTGACCTTGTTTTCGCAACTTGGTCATTATTGGTAGGAAGACCTTGCCTATAATCAAAACCTCTACTGTTAGCCAATTAGCTATAGTCCCTGCTGCATCTACCATGTTTCTATCCATT